TAATTCTTACCTGGACATTGAAGAAAATCTGTTTCTCAAAGGTTTTTCCTGTACATACTCTCCTCGCTCTCTCTATCTCTCTCTATATATATATTATCTGCCCTCCCATTTCCTTTCTGTTATGACAACAACCAAAAGTTGGCCTAACCATGTTGACAGGATAGTTACTTAGCTGATTACCCTATATAGAATGTAAGAAAGTGCTGTGATCTGAAATCAAATGGACATCTGAAAGGAAATCAGTGTCACAATCCTCCCCAACCTCTAAAAGTCTCCCAGAAATGTTCACCCACCTGTCTTTCTATCCATTTGGCATCTACCTTTCCTTAAATACTACATTGAAGATGCGATTTTTTTGTTTCCCTGAGATTAAATGTCACCATTCTGGGAGAAGTGTCATTTTATGCTTAAATTTTGATGTTAGTACACACAGCTTTGGTTACATTTGGGATTATGTAGGTTTTTCTTTTGAGCAACAGCTCTACTGTGGTTAAGGAGAACATGTTTCCAGTTTACAACCCATCTGCTGATAGGCTATTTCCCGTAGTGCCAGCTTCATAGCAAATGCCAGGCTGAAATGTGTATGGGAAACTGGCCACAGTGAGGCCATTTTGTGCCAAGCCTTCAGAGGACACCAAAGTATGGTCCAGCTAGCAAAAGGACAGTCTTAGGTTCAGCAAGCTAGTGACCTTCCAATATTCCCCCATGTACCCAATCTGCAAACATTCTGTTACCTCCAGAGTAGGTCAGGGACTGCGCAGGGCTCAGAACCAACACAGTGGAGAGGCTTCTCACAACAAAGTCAAGGCATCAATAGGCCATGGTGAGTGCTGAGCAAGTGTCTCAGTCCTGAAGCAGGATAATATATAAAGAAAAGTCTATTTTGACTCACAGTTCTAGAGTCTGGGAAACCCAAGAATAGTTGGCTGTATCTGGTGAGGACTTCATGCTGCTTTAATCATGGCAGAAAGTAGAAAGATAAGAGGATGAGTGTACAAGACAGCAAAGTGCTGGATGCCTAACATGGCCACTCATTCCCATGAGAAAGGCATTAACTCAGGAAAACTTCACACCCATGACCCAGGAGCACCTCCCACCAAGCCACACCTCCCAACACCTCCTACATGTGAGTTGGAGGAGACAAGCCCTACTCCAATCTTGCCGAAGGCAAGGCTGAACTGTCTGCCACAGTCCAGGCATTGCTGCTGGCAGGATGAGGTGAGAAAGGAGTTTCAGACAGCACAATCCACGCTTGGATAATTACTAACAGATATAAATAATCATATTTTTATAACTAGATGGATTTTCCAAAAATGAATAATCAGAGTCATTGCTATTTTTTTTCTGGGAAGCTTATTCTACAAATTTTGCTATGCTCATATTTTTGCTGTAAGAATATGCAATTTTTATTTATGGGGACCAGGTGTGGTGATGCAGGCTCGCAATACCAGCTATCTCTGAAGCAACAGAGTAAAAGTGAGACTGATTCAGGAAGATAATGGAAGGAATAATCCCCCACAGAGAAGACATTTAAAAGGCAAGCAAGCTGGACATTGGTGACTCCCACTTGTAATTCTAGCTACTCAGGAGGCTGAGGTCAGGAGGATCTCAGTTCCTGGTCAACTTGGAGCAAAAAGAAGCTGTTCATTGGCCGGGAATATGGCTTCGTGGTAGAGTGCATGCCTAACAAGCATGAGGCCATGGGTTCAATTCCTTGGTACCACAAAAATAAAAAAAATAGTTAAAATATGATTTTTTTAAAAGCTGTCTACTGTGGTGACATGCCCCTGTCATCCCAGCCATGACAGAAAGTGTAAAACAGGGGGATCTCAATGCAGGCATGGACCAGGCAAAAAGTGAGGCCCTATCTCAAATTAACCACTACTTGAAAGAGCTGGTAGTATAGCTCAATGGTAGAGATCCTGCCTAGCAAGTACAAAGTCCCGAATTCAAACCCATGTACAGATAAATAAATGGCAAGCAACTGAACAGCAATGGGGACTAGACTCCATTAACTCAGGCTGCTGTCATGACTTATTTGTGGAGGGATGTGGTGTGACCTGTGACATGTTCTGATTTATTTAGAATGGTTCTAGTAAATTTCATGAGTACCAAGAACTATATAAATGATAAAGCATGTTTAAATGAAAATATTTAAATGAAACTACATAAATAGTTATTTAATACATGACTAATGGCTTGAACTACTCTTTGGCAAATATTCACACACACACACACACACACACACACACACACACACAGCCCATATGGGCAGTGTACCTTTCCTGCCTTGGTGGTGGGTGTGGCTGTGCTCCATAGAATACTAGGAGATGTGGAATAAGCAGAGATTTGAAATCTGCCTAAGCAATTGAGCTTACTCTTCCATGTGCCTGCATTTTGCCATAAATAGAATGTGCTGCAGGTAGTTGTCAGTCCAAAGAACACAGAGAACACATTAGTGTAGACCCTAACCCAACCACCATGAGGAGTTAGGCCAGCTAACATCAGCCAGCCACAGATGTTACTCAGCCCACATCAGTGTTGAACATTGACTTCTTATGAAGTATTATTGTGGCAAATAGATTACTGATATGATAACCAAAGATGGAAGGTTTTCTTAGAGAATTCTGTTTCAATTGTAGTTTGGATCTTAAATGTTCCCCCAACAAACAACCCATATACTAAGGGCTTGATACATACCCTTAGGAGGGTTAGCTCATTGGGGGTGTGTCCTTGAAGGGATATGGTTACTCCTAGCCCTTCCCGTTGCTCTGCTTCTTGGCTATCATGAGCTAACTTGGCTTCTACGGTCATGTGATGGCCTGATTCTGCCACAGGCCCAGAGGCCTGTGACCAAACCAAGTGACCATAGACTGAAGTCTCTGAAACAAATACTTCTTCCTTGTATGTTGATTTCTCTCAGGTATTTTGCCACAGCCACGGAAAGCTAACCCCCACCATAACCAAAACTGATTAGAAGTTAGACTATCATTAGTAAACCTTTAGCTTACAAGTTAGAGGTTTTACAAAATATATTACATCCAGCTACTTATCATGTGAAGGGAGCCTTTGTTGGATAGCACAGCCCTCCGCACCCCAGCATGCTGTGCTGCTCACCTTCGCAAGCCTGCTGGGAAAAGGCCCATCTCACAGTGCCGTTGTTAACTGCTAGCATGGAGGAGACTGGAAAAACACCAGACTCTGGGCATGTGGGGCCTGTGCACTTCAACTTGCTCAACTGAAAAGGAATACTGTTTTGGCATGCAGATTTTGAAAGGACAGAAGACCTTAAACCTTTGCCAGTTTTAGGTTCAAGCTTTGCCTCTCCTGGCAGGGTGATTCTTTGTTGTGCCAGGCAGCCAAGATTCATGTTTTGCAGCAGGTGGGAGCCTCAATAATTTAAGCAAAGTGCTGGCTCTTCCAGCCAAGAAAAATAGTATTCACAGAGGCATACTGCCTTACATCATCTGGATAGGGAACAAACAAGCCATAAAAGCTGAGCCTCCGGTGAAGGCAAGCAGGAAAGATGCCACCTCTCTATGCTCAATGAACTCTTGGCATTCCATAGCAGAGACTCTGGAGGAGAGGAGAACTTTGAAGCCATAGTTGCCCTCAGAGAAGCCATCGAATGTAATCCTAGATTGCTTTTCCTAACAAACAAGACAAACCTCTTTTCTTTTCTTTTTTTCTTAATATGGTGTGAGTACAGGAGCTTGAACTCAGGGTTTAGCTTTTCTGCTCAAAGTTGCACTTCTAGCTTTTTGCTGCTTAATTAGTTATAAGAATCTCATGGACTTTTATGCCCTGGGGTTGGCTTCAAAACAAGATTTTTAGATCTCAGCCTCCTGAGTAATAAGCTCATAGGTGTGAACCACCAGCATCTGCCCATCTCTCCTGTTCGTATTGAAATCAAATTTTGCATCATTCACTTGGGCAAACTGAATGAATGCACTTGTCATTCATTTTGCCTTGTAGAATTACTTTTCATACCCTTTTATAAACCCATAAAAAGTAGAGATGCAGTAGATATACATTCTGTGGAAACCCAGAAGGTGTTTCTTTGTGAAAAGGTAAAATGGTTAATTCAGTGTCACAAACAGCACAATGTATATACTTCCTGCATCTTATGGTGTGATTGATCTTAAAACTGATGAGCTAGTATTTGTAATTCCATGATAATTTTGAAAAATGTAAATAAACAATATAGATTGTTGCTATCAAAATGCTCTTGCATAAGGGAAATCATTTCAATATTATTTTATATTTTCTGATGAAAATAACACATCCCAGTCCCTCTGGCTAGCTCTTGACATGTGTGTGTGTGTGTGTGTGTGTGTGTGTGTGTGTGTGTGTGAGAGAGAGAGAGAGAGAGAGAGAGAGAGAGAGAGAGTCCTAGGGCTTGAACTTGGGGCCTTGTGCTTTCACTTGACTTTTATGATACATTAAATTCTAAAAGTCAGAATTTGAATCATGGTAAGAATTACCTGTGGAAAAGCAAAATTCTATAGCCTTTAGTTAAAAAAATAGAAAGAAATTTTTTTTCTAGTCAACCCAACTCAGCATTTAAATATTAAAATATCAGTAGCATCTTGTGCCTGAATATTTTTTAACCATTGTCTCTTCATCTCTTAAGAAGAACTTGTATGTATTGCAAACTTTGGTAATTTTGTTTCCTTAAGAAGTATAACAAATAGAGAACAAAAACAAGATAAAAGGTTTTATTCTAGAATGTTTCCTTCAGTATAATTTCAACTTTCAAATTATAGGAACATAAATGAATGTCCTACTTCTGCATCAGAAGTACTTGACTACTTTGTGGGATGTTTTGTGCCAATTCTTTACTAAATTATCTTGGTCGAGGTTGCTAGGTAACACCGCTGGCTTCCAGCAGCTGAAAAATGAAAAGGTTACAGGGAGCAATTCCACATTATTAGCATTTGACTAATAAGTTGGTTTAAAAAAAAAACCTGTATATCTTAGCATTTTGCCTCCTTTTCCAGGGAATGTCATTGTCTATGGGAACACACTCGATACTTACACCACTGTGGAAGCACTCTTACACATTGGCGTGAGGGGCTCCTGCATCTATCTTGTACATCCCCCACTGAAATCAGTCACCACCTGCCTCAACAACAGCACAGTGGAAAAAGCCGTGGCTGAAGCACTCGAGGAGGCTGGAGTCATCACTCACAAGGATGCGCTGCTGGCTCAGTGGGAGATGGACCCATTCTCAGACTTCATCCACACTGTCTACTTCACCACCTACACCAAACCTTTCAGCCTTCCATGTTCTGTAAGTGCATCTGGGGAGAGCAGTCCCCTTCCCAGGACTGGAAAGATTGAAATATTGTGAGCAGTGCTTTCATAGATACAGATTTTCTTTTGACTGTTCAGGTTACCTCTTGTTCAATAACAAGCTACTAAAAACTTAGTGGCATAAAACAATAGATTATTAATAATAATTAATAATTATTATTATTATATAACAAGTAATATGTAACAAACACATAATGATAATAATAATTATTATTATTATTATTTCTCCTGTCTGGTGGTTTGACTGGTCCCAACTGGGCGTTTCTCAATGAATAGCTTTTAGGTAGTTGAAGTCAGACAAAAGATAGGGCTGGAATCATCTAAAAGGCATGTTCACTAACTTGTCTGGCTATTTCTGCAGAATCAGCTTCAAGTATCATTTTCATCAAAACACTTACAAATGGTCCCTTTGTGTGACTGGTCCTCTTCAGAGCACGATGTCTTGGTTCTAATAACAAGCAAAAGGAAAGAAAGAGAAGTGGAGGGATGCACCTCTGTTTATGACCTGGGCTCATAATAATGTGGCATCACATCTGCCTCATTCTTTGCTACAGTTAAGTCAGCACATCCATCACATATTAAAGAGGGAGGGAATCAGACCTCCCTGACATATGGGACCACCCCAAAGAGGGATAAAATGATCAGGTTCTGCAAAGGGGCCCCTCCATATTATTAATTTTCCACAAGTACCAACTTCTGGCCAAAGAAGGATGAGAAACTGTAGAGTGACGGAAGTCAGGATATGTTGTCTGTAAAGGTCATTCCTTGTGATGCAAAGCAGGACAAGGGACAGTGAGAGGAGCTATCTGACAGCAGACATCAACATCTAGCCCAGGCTGCTATGGCAAGAAAAGGTGTACCTAGAAGTTGTATTCCTTGTAAATAAATGAACTTGAATGTATTTGCAAGATGCTTTTGCCACAATTCTGATTTTAATCTAAGTAGGGAAAACAGGTAAAAGGGGAGTCCTAGAGAACCTGTGTTCCGTGGTGATTTGGGAAGGTTTCCTTAGGCCTCTACTTATTTTTAAAAAATGAAGATGGGGGCGGGGGGAGGGGGTGTTCACCTCCTGAGGTTCCTGGGCTAAACTTGGCAGTCTTCCAGGATTACTATTATGGGGAGAATCTTTGGATAGACATTTTGATCCTTCCCATCTTTAGTAAATAAGTGTCATGATACACAAGCAGAAATACAACACTTTCAAAATAACATGACTTCTGTTTTTTGATAACTATATTTCTAATACAGAACCTAAGGCCTAACTTGGTGTTATTTAAGTATTTGTGGAATGGATAAATAAATGAGTGCAGTAAAGAACAGCCTACAAGATGATCATGGATTTCAGGCATTGTGCCCAGGAAAGGGCAAGTTCTCAGTAAATGGTTGTACTCTGAAAATGCTTGACACTCCCACAGAGAGATGTTACCAGAACTAAGATCTGGGGTCCAGGGGTGGCAGAAATAAGATGGAACCCAGAGAAATAACAGTCAGGGTTTTGTTGGTTTATTTGTTTGCTTCTCAGACTACGTACTGGAGGTACATAAGAGATGCAACTCTGACCAAAAGCAAGGCAGGCAACAGCTCCCTACACAAAGGGAAAAAAAGGGAACTTATCTATGAAAAAATCACAACAAATCCTAATAAAAGATCTGAGCGGATCTGGGTTCACATGCAGCCTGAGTTAAAAACAGTCTGCTACCAGGTACTGGTGGCTCATGCCTGTAATCCTACCTACTCTGGAGGCTAAGATCTGAGGATCACAGTTTGAAGCCAGCCTGAGCAGAAATGTCTATGAGAGTCTCCAATTAATTAGCCCCAAACTGGAAGTGGAGCAGTGGCTCAAACTAGTAGAGCACTAGCCTTGAGCACAAAAGACAGGGACAGTGCCCAAGCCCTGAGTTCAAGTCCCATGACAAACAAAAATAACAACAATAACAATAAAAAACACAACAGAGGGAAAGGATAGTAGGAGAAAAACAAAGGAGGGGTAACAATGTTGGACAAGAATTGTACTTATTACCTTCCTCAGAGAACTGTAACCCCCCTGTACAGCATCTTTACAATAAAATAAAATCAAACAAACAACAGTCCTTCTCACACAGATCCGCCAGGGTCAGCTCCTGAGAACCTCCCTGACCCTGAGAGTCAAAGTTGACCAGTGAGGCTTCAGGAAGATCTATCTGATGTAGACCAATAAGGACTAGACATACTTCGCAACTTCCAGTCCTTCATTTACATGAAGGACCCTGAAAAGAAACTCAGGGTGGGGTTTCAACCTGAAGTTCATTTCATGAGCAAGTTTTGGGTAACAGATTCAATTTACTGGATATTAGGCTATTTGGATTTTATGCCTATATTAATTTTGTTCAAGACATTTATCCATTTATTTTAAGTTGGTCAAAATGTTAGCATTAATTTGTTCATATATCATTATTTTATTATCTACTGTACTTACATGTCTTGGGGTAGTTGTAATAACCTCATTTTTTCTGGTTTTGTTGAATTGCATTTAGTTGTTCTGTCTGTCTCTCTTCATCTCAGTCTAAATAGAGGTTTGTCAATTTTATTGATTTTTTTTTCAAAGAAACCAACTTTACTTCCAGGTAAAGTTGGCTCCTTTTCTCTATAATCAGTCACTTTTCTCTTCCATTGATTTCTGCTCTTAATAATTATTTTCTTCATGCTGCTTGCTTTGAATTTACCTTGTTTCTTCTCTTTCCTAATTTTTAAGGTAGAGCTGTAGGGCATTGATTTATGTATTCATTTAAACTATAAGCTTTCTTTGTTTTAGCTGCCTTCTCACAAATTTTAATATATTTAACTTTTATTGTCATTTAGATAAAAACATTTCCTCCTCTCCTTTGTGGTTCTTCTTCAACCCTTAAATCATGTGTTGTTTAATTTCCAGATATTTGAGTTTTCTACATGAATTTATGTTCATTGAGTTCTAACTTAATGCTATTGAGATCAGAGAATATATTCTTTATAACTATTAATACATTAAGATTTATTATTATTTATTGTATATCCAAGCAAGTATGTTTGGATCTAAAAGAGTGTATTCTAAGCCAGGTGCTGGTGGGTCATCTATTCAGGGGACTGAAATCTGAGAATCATGTATCTGCTTTCTTTGGAATTTTTTTTTAATTTTTTTTGGCTGGTCATGGGCTCTGAACTTATGGCCTAGGTACTGTCCCTCAGCTCTTTTGATCAAGGCTAAGCCCTCTACTACTTTGAGCCACAGCACCACTTCCTTCTTTTGGAATTTTTGGAGTATCTTTGGTATTCTATTTCAAATGCCTTTTAAACTTTATTTTTTAGTGAATGTGTCATGGATTGCAATATACTTCATCAGTCTTTACCATTCAGTAGTCTCGATATTACGTATTTCACATAAAATGTAAAAGACCTATAATACAGGCCCTTCTTCCAGTATCACGTGCATTTAGTTACACTCACCATGTATGTTACGTCTACACACATTGAAAAATAGCCATGGCAATGTTGTAGGTTTTGTTTTAAACAGACACTCTATATACATATACTTTTATACACATAAATGTACACATAATAAATATGTGAGTTATAGAGCCTTTTTTCATTTCTTGCTCTTTGTTTTCAAAATACAAATCTCCCATCAGAGTGTACAACTCCCTATTTCACTGTGGGTATTATAAATCTGTTAACAAATTCTCTAGTTTTCCTCTATCTGAAAACATTTTATTGTGCCTTGGCTCTTGAATGATATTCTCACTGTATATTGAATCTCAGGCTTATAGGGCATTTTTCCCAGTACTTTGAATATGTTTTTCATCATGCTCTGACATCACACATTTTGATTTAAAAAAACCTGTAGCTATTGAAGCATTGTTCCCTTGTATTTAGTATATTTACTACTCATGTTTTCAAGGTATGCTGTTTATTATTGGTTTTGGCCATTTGATGCTAGGTAGATTCCTTGTTTATTATGTTTTAAATTTTTATGTTGTGGTTCAGTTGAGCTTCTTGAATCTATAAATTTATGACTCTCACTAAATTTAATAAAAATTCTTGGCCATTTTTTCTTACCCCATTCTTCTTTCCTTTTCTTGGGGTCTTCAATTCTGTTAGTTTTTAATAATTTTCTTTGGGGCTTTAGGCTCTGTTTGCTTGAATACTTTTTTCTTTCTTCTTCAAACTGGAAAACTTCTGTTGATATAACTTCAGAGTTCACTGAATTTTCTCTTCTATTAGAACATAAAATGCCTAGAACTTACCTTCTTATAAAAACTCCCCAAATAGGCAAAATTAGCCCTATGCTAGTCATTGCTCCAAGATTTTACTCTCCTATACAATCTACCTGCTGTTAAACACTAACCAGAATCTTCAAGTAGCTGTTTTCCTATTTTGGTCAGAGTTTGTAGTTGTTATTGGTGGGAAGTTTAGTCGCAGGGGATTATGCTACCATACTAGAAACACAATTCTCTTGGAATTAATGTTTTATGTATATATCAAGGCCTTACTACTCTTGCCCTGTATCAGTGTCATGTGTGTGCTCAGCATCTATCCAAGCTATACTCCACTTAACACTGGTTCTCAAAGAGTATGTCTTGGGCTGGGAAGGTGGCTCAGTGGTAGAGTGCTTTCCTTGCATGCATGAGGCTCTGGTTTCGATTCCTCAGCACCACATAAGCAGAAAAAGTCAGAAGTGGAATTGTGGCTCAAGTGGTAGAGCACTAGCTTTGAGCTGAAGAGGTGAGGGACAGCGCCCAGGCCCAGAGTCCAAGCCCCACGACTGACCCCCCCCCCCAAAAAAAGAGTATGTCTTCCTTTTTATTGGTATCCATCTCTCCAGTTAAATTGTCAGTTTCGTGATTTATTTCTTGAAGATATTCTTGGAACCTTACACCACGCCTGGCAAAAAAGTGCTTGTCTTCTGAATTTGAATGAATGAAGTTCATCAAATCAATTTGTGATTTCCCTTTATAATTTTCAGTCTGTTACACTATGAATCCCTATTATGAAACCCTAAGACATTAAAAAAAAGTGTGAATGCCTACACTACAACATTATAAGTAAATACTACTCTAAGACTAATCACCTTTAAAGCTAACAATCTATCAAGTATCTCTGTTGAATGTGCCATTTAGCAAAATTAAAAGTAGGTATAGATAGAGAAAGAAAACTGATAGGTAGAACTTTTGTGAAGATGCTAAAAGGAACTCCTGAAATTGGTCAAGGATTCAAGAGGTTGATGACACAGGGGCTTGTACATAATGTTAATCTAAGTCAAATAGCATTCTATTTTTTTGTGTTGGTCAAAATGCATTTTTCTATAAATGGAGAAGCAGAAGTGGGAGAATAAGCAAGTATGTGTAGGGAGAGAAAAAGACAGAGACTCAAAAGATACAGTTCCTGGGCTGGGAAGTTGGCTCAGTTGGTAGAGTGCTTGCCTTGCGTGCTTGAGGCCCTGGGTTCGATTCCTCAGCACCACATAAGAAAAAAAAAAAGATACAGTTCCTGTAGTTGCTGGATATGCTACTGCCTTCTATACCAGGACTAAAAGCAGTAAGACAGGAACAGACTTTGCAGCTGGGGAGGCCTATGGCTCATCCTCTCTAGAGTATCCTTCAAGGACAAGATTGCTGGGTTTAGACAAATCTAGAGATGAGGCAATCTGAAGATTTAAGACTTAAGTGAGACAACCTCGAGAAGAAACCTAGAAAGACTTACATATGAGACATGAGAGAAAAGAAAATAGAAGGAAGCTAAGCTCAGGCTATTAGAAATCTAATAGATTGGAAGTAAGGGTTAGGGCCTCAGATATAAGCTTCTTACAGGGAAAGAATGTTTATTCCTGGGGCAGATATTCCACTGGTCAACATCCTTATCTCCACTGTATGTCTAAATGAAGTGGTTACAAAAGTATGACACTAAGTGATCTTAGGTTGATTTTTTTTTTTTTTGGGTCCGGTAGTGGGGCTTGAACTCTGGGCCTGGGCGCTGTCCCTCAGCTCTTCAGCTCAAGGCTAGCATTCTACCACTCGAGCCACAGCGCCACTTCCGGCTTTTTTCTGTTTGCTTATGTGGTGCTGAGGAATCGAACCCAGGGCCTCAGGCTTGCAAAGCAAGCACTCTACCACTGAGCCACCTTCCCAGCCCTTAGGTTGATTTTTGTTGGTTGTGGGGCTTGAACTCAAGGCTGGGTGCTGTCCCTGAGATTTTTTGCTCAAGGCTAGTGCTCTCCCAATTGAGCCACAGATCGGCTTGTGGTGGTTGAGTGGCTAAGAGTGATAAGAGTCTCACAGAGACTTTTCTGCCGGGGCCAATTTCGAGCCATGATGCTCAGACCTCCACCTCCTGAGTAGCTGGGATTACAGATGGGAACCACCGTCTGGCTTGTTTTTTTATACCAAAAATATTCATTCTTTCTCTCTCTCTCTTTTTCACTTCCTCCTGCTCTTTCCATCTCTCCCTCCCTCATTCTTTCTCTCACACACACAGACACACACACCCCACAAACACATATTATGACAAACTTTTTTTTCCTTTTTTTTTGCCAGTCCTGGGTCCTGAACTCTGGGCCTGGGCACTGTCCCTCAGCTCTTCAGCTCAAGGCTTGTGCTCTACCACTTGAGCCACAATGCCACTTCTGACTTTTTCTGTTTATGTGGTGCTGAGGAATTGAACCCAGGGCCTCAGGCATGCAAGGCAAGTACTCTACCACTGAGCCACCTTCCTAGCTCCTCAAACTTTTGATAGATTATTTTGTGCTCCAAATATAAAATACCCCAGAATGTGAAATCACGACTAATAACTGTGTTATGATGTGATCATTCACATTGTAGATATTCTTCAGTTTCTATGAGAAGAATGTGGATTATGACACATTTAAAGCCTTCAACGATGCATGTCTCGTGTATGATGGCCGGCTAGTGATTGATACCAACTTCCACACCAATGACATAGCCATTAGAGCTGCTGGATCCCTCACCAAATTCTCTAACAGATATTATGCAAATGACTGGACTCACAGCAACTTCAGTTCCAAAGAAATTGGATTCCAGCTGGCAGCAGCTATGCTCAATCTTTTTGACCCAACTCTTGAACCTGTGACTGAGCCACCAGCTGATCTAGACCGACTCATCCCCATGTACAAGGGCGCCAAGATCCAAGGTATGTGAGCAGCCCTCCTTCCTTCCTTTGATGAAGCCACAGATTAGCAGCTCCCAGTGTTTGTCTTAGGCTTGGTTAAGAACCTTCTACCTCTCAGTGGGTTGCCATGGAGATAAAGGTCCATCTCATTTCTGAAGTATTTATTACAAACCTGGTACTATTACTTTATGGCACTTTGCATTTAAAACATTTATTATAAAGCATCTCCAAACTGATAATGCCCATTTTACAAACTTGGAAATGATCAGTAACTTGCCTAGAGCTGGTGAGGGTGATCTGCCATAACATCTTCCCTAAAATTTCCATTCTTCCCATAAGTTTGGACAACAGAAAACCCTTCCAGACAGCTCTGATCTTAGCCTGCTCTCTCAGAGAAGCTCAACCACTATGCCTCTAAAAGAATCCACTTTCCCTCCCTAAGATTTGTTGATTTCTAAGGAGATGATTTCAGTATTTGTTCATGTCTTAATGTGGTGGTGAGAGACACCTTTAAGATGGTATCTTTGGGATGGGTACAGTGGCTCACACCTGTATCTTAGCTACTCAGGAAGCAGAAATTGGAAGGCTGGTGACAGGTCTAAGACAGGCAGAGGGAAGTGGGAGAAAATAGAGAGGGGATAACACTGTTCAAAAAGAAATGTACTCATTCCTCTACTGTAAGAGTAACCCCTCTGTACATCACCTTTACAAAAACAAAAGCCCAGAGGAAAATAAGCTATGTGGGAATAAATAGGAAGATCGTGGTCCGGGCCAGTCCTAGACATAAATATGAGACTATATCTGAAAAATTATCAAAGCAAAACGGGCCAGGGTATGGTTCTAGTGGAAGAGAGCCTAGTTAGCAAGCAGCCTCATTAGGGCTGCCAAAATAAAAGAAAACATTTATAAATATGTATGATCACTTCTAAGAAGTTCATGAACCTAAAACTGTACAGACTACTGTACGTGTCTGTAGATTCTAATCCGGTAGGTATGCATTAATCTAAAGAGAACAGCCCCACCTTCCAGCCCTTGTCTGCCACTACCTAACAAGGTCACCTCAAGGAGATCCTTTTCTGTTTCACACTGTGGCTAACACCTGAGTAAGGGTGGAGACCTCAGGCAAGCAAGAAAGGAGTGACATTAGATGTCTGAGCTTGACCAGGCTCAAGTTTTCCAAAGCACTAAACAAAGAAGTTTCCTTATAAAGCAGGAGTTTAAAAAAATATTTTGGTTATATTTGGAGAAACAGTATGGAATGGCAAAACTATTGCAGTCCTTAAAGGCTTTTGACGGTCTTGATGCAATTGGCAGGTACAGGCTAGTGTGTGTGGAGCTGTGGGCTTAGGGAAGTACATCTTAGAGCACTGGTGACTGTGTGACAGAACATTGGTGATGATGTTACATTACAGCGATTTGCAAACAAAGTTCAACCACTTCAGGTTATCCCTTGCTCTTGCTGTACTGTGGTGAGAAAGTCTGGGACATGTACACATTGTAGGCATTTCTGTCCTGTAGTGAAAATATGAACTCTTTTCCCTACCTCATTAACAATTTATCTCACTGTACTTGATGTTGGTATAATTTGTGGAGGGGAAGGGAAAAAACAAATTGTTCACATAGGGATACAGGTGGACCCATTGCAACAATGAGATGTACAAGATGCTATGTTGAAAAACGAACTTTACAAGTTAGGCACGGGGTGTGGGGGAGAGGGTGAGGAATGTAGTCCTGGAGATGTGAGGGAAGGGGTAGTAGGGGGAAAACAAAGGAGGAGGCAACAAAGCTCGATAAGAAATGTACTCATTACCTTGCTCATGTAATTGTAACCCCTCTGAACAGTATTTTCACAATAAAAAACTTACTTAAAAAAAAAAGGCAGGTAGCAGGGACCCAGAAAAAAACCTGAGTTGTAATCTATTCTGGAATAAGAGGGAGATCTATTGGGGCTCCAGCCCCAGAAGAAGTAGGATGGTGAGGACCAAGATGAATCTTTGTGTTTGAGAAATGACCATCTATTCTCAAGTATTCTCAAAACCTTAAAAAAAAATAACAATTTATCTCACATGCACGAAACTTGTTCTTTCCTCTAGGAGGCATTCTTCCTGGATCTTACTATTATCTGCATATTGCCAAACCTGCCATTCCAACTCCTTTGGAGGTACTGATGGCGCAGCCTGATTTTGTAAGTATTGTTTCTGAATTTCATTTTACTCTGTTTTATGGGAAAGCGAAGTTCTTTACTCAGAGCCTTCCATGTAATATATTGGTTCTCACATCAAAATAAACCCATTGTGCTGGTCAGCACATTATTAGGAGGGACCTGATAATCTTTGGTTCTTATTTCCTTGTGTGGTCTCCCCCAGCAATGAGATAATGATGACCTATGTAGCCCGTAGAAAATTGTGGAACTGAGTGTGTGGTTCAAAGGTAAGTTATGAGTGATGCTGTAGCTGCCAACTTTCCTGCTTAGCCATTACCTGTTGCCATGTTACTTTCCTAGACTAGGATTAGTCAGAGCATTCTAACCAGTGCCGCCTCCCCACATGTGACCTGGGTGCCCTAACCTCAGAGCAGTATTAGAGCACTCAGACTGTTCCGGACAGCTCATGATTCCAAGTGCATGTGTTCTCCTTGGCAAGTGGACAGCTTGTATGCCTTGTACGGCCCGGCCTAGTAACCCACACATTATCACTCCTATACCTCTTTTGGAACAGTCATATCCCATAAGGAAGGAGGAAGTGAAGAGGGAGAGAGGGAGAAAGAAAAGAAAGGAAATGGGAGAAGGGAGGGAAGGAGAGGGAAGAAGAAGGAGATAGAGAGGAAGGAGGGGAGGAAGAGACCATATCTCAGTGGGGAGAGTATCAAGGTCATATTGCAAAAGAATATCAGTAATCAGGATTCACCTTTGGAAAATACAATCTGCCACTACTGAGTTTGGGCATTAGATAAACAGGTGAAGACCAGCATTCCAAAGTTGAACATTTTGGTCACTTTAGATAAATAACTTGAGGTGAACACATATAAGAGCTAGAAAACATCTCAGAATGAACCAGATTCTTCAAAGGCACTGCATGATTTCCTACATAAAGTGCCATCTATTTATGAATTACTTGCCCTCTCTGAACGAAGTCAGAGGAAGAGCCAGAGGGGGCTTTAGATAATAAGAATTATAATGAGAGTGTAACTTGAATAAATTCTTGGGCTGGTGCTATAACAGTATTTGAACAGGACCCCTGACTTTAATTAACCATTTGCCAGGTGGGCCTCCTTTTTAATTAGTACAGAAGATCTAAACAGATTTTTTTCTATTTTATCATCCAAGAATAAAAATGTAAGATGGCTCCATGGCAATCTTTGGGAGTTAAAATTAATTTAAGTAAAATGGTTGCCAAAGTGGCTCAGCAGTCACCTAAATATAGCCAACTGATCAAGAGTGGAACCCATTTAACAGTATTTCAATGAGAAATTAAACATATTCTTACAATAAAGATAGTAAAGATCATATTATTAGACTTTTATGGCCCTCAGTCTCTGGAATATTTAAGTAAGAAAAAAGGCTTGAGTAATTCATGAGATCTTTGAGTAATGACCTGACTAAAGGAAGAAAGGGGAACCCAAGTCTTTTACATAATAAACTAATTTACAGATTCCAGTCCACATGCTTTGTTGGCTTATGCACCATGAAATAAGTAAGTTTGTCACAACAAATTCTGCCTTGGATACTATTAAATTTAAAATTATGTTTTTGTCATGAGAGCTGAGAACTTGATTTCTCAAACAGCAAGTCTGATTAATCCTGTGTCTTCTGTTTGGCATGAATTCCTGAGTCATTTCCCAAATTTGGTCAAAATCATACAAAAACTCAGAATAATTGTATTGTTAGGGAGAAGAATAGAAAAAAATCACACCAGACAAGTTTACTCCATTAATACCTTAAATTCAAGATCCACGTCTCTCAAGGATTTACTTACATACAGGAAGACATACTCCTACCCAGTTAGAAAGTGTATAAAATAGTCATGATTACCCAGAATACCTCATGAGGTTGCAAGGCTGGGAGGTGCTTTAAATCATCATTTAGTGTAACGATTTCCAGTGATGAAAGGCAGAGAGTGTTCTGGATTCCACTGGTTTTCCTGAGCTATCAGTAACTATGAGTAAGAATGCCCAGCCCTGCATAGATCATTTGTGTCTCAGACATCCCTCTATAGATGAGTTCTCCTTAATGCTAATGCATATTATTTTGATGCATTCCGGAAATAGCAATACAAATACAGTCCCAGATCTCATGAAAATGGACACAGTTTGCCTTCCATGATTAAGATCAGCAAAACCTCCTCTTTGTAATGGTTCCTTGCTGGATTGATTCTTCAATCCTTTATAGCTATGGATCACTATACACTTAGGTTTATGCTGATACAACAAATAGGGGAAACCTGGAGATTTTATTTCAATCTAAAAAGTAAGACCAAAAACAAAAAACAACAGATCCATAGAAACAAATCACAAGAAATAGTGCTGGGGATACCAGCCTCATGGAACAGGTCTACGTGGACACTTAATGTACAGATCCCCCATTTTGTGGCATTTAGCCGTGGCTACATACATGGAACCCAAATCAGCCTTCCAAAGCACACACACACACACACACACACACACACACACACACACACATCCGGTGAAGCTAAAAGTGGAATATTCAGTAAAATCCTTGGCAAAACCAAACTTTTTTTATTACCCACATGGTTGGAGTGCAAGCAGGGCCTCTTTCTTATCTGGCTTCCCTTTTCTTAATTGCACACCATAAAGAAAATTAAGGGAGAGGAAGAAAAAGATGATGAGCAAGAGGAGGAATGAAGAAGGGAAGGAAGAAGAGAAAGCCAAAATCATATGGGTTTGCTTTTTTTACCCTGCAGTGACCCTTGGCAAAACCTGGCATCTGACACTATGCCAGAGCTGTTGGGGGACTGTTCTAGACCTCTACAGCTGCACTATTACAATAAAGAATCCCCGACACACACTCCTTGAAACTCAGTCACCTACAGTTTTTCATCTTTTTCTTCAAGTCATCCCTTAATGCCACAAGGACTCTTGCTCATCAAGTTGGGAAACTAAAACTGCTGGCACCAAACTCAGTTGACTAGAAAGCTTTGTATTACATCTGAGATATACATGTGGACATCATATTCTTCACTACCATCTATATTTCTGTGTGTTTTCCAACTCTGAAATGGTATTGAACAATCTGGACCATGTCAGTAAAGTTGATAATGGGGGTTATTTGGTGATGTCATGTGCCCCTGTCCTGGTTGGTGGGACATGACTTAGTCAAGACTTGAGGAAACACACTGGAATGAAAAAGTGGGAGGGACATCCGGACTAGAAAAATTTACGTGGCAGGAGCATTTGAGTCAGAGAAGCATAACAATACCCTTCGGCCAGAGACTCAGCTCTTGTTTTTTCCAACCTCTCTGGACCAGCCCCACCTCCCCAACAACAAACTTGTGTTCCACCTTTCCTTCCTCCCTGCTTCCCCTCTGCCTTTCTTCTTCCTTGCTCATTCTGGTTTCTATTTGGGTTCTTTTCCCTTTGCTCATTTAGAAAGTCTGATCGCCTATGGACTCCATTGCCAAATTACTCGTGCTGATCCAAAACTTTGGCAAAGTAACAGGGTATAAAATTAACCCTCAAAAATCAATGGTTTTTCTGTATGTCAATAATGAGAAGAGTGTGGCTGAAATCAGGAAATCAATTCCTTTTGTAATAGCCCCACAAAAATAAAATACCTAGGAGTTAACTAAAGAAGTGAAGGCCTGGCTTACTTCACTTAACATAATTTTTTCCAAGTCTTTCCATTTCCTAACAAATGGGGCAATGTCATTCTTTCTGATGTAAGCCAGGCCCAAAGAAACATAGGTCTCATGGTTTCTCTTATTTGCAATAACTAGTATATGTCTGAGACAAGCATAAATGGTCAGATAAGTTGATGTTAGGTGAAATGAACCCCAACATAAAGACTCAAATGGTTTTTCTTTCTTGCTATTGTTTCTAGCATATTTATAATATGATTTCTTTGTTGCTTTGTATGTCCCTCACCCACAGTATAACCCTTGTTTTCACTGTATTTGACGTTGGTATAATTTGTGGAGGGGAAAGGAAAAAACAAATTGTTTAAATAGGGATACAGGTGGACCCATTGCAACTATGAAATGTACAAGACGTTATGTCAAAAAACGAACTTTACCTTTACAAGTTTGGCGGGGGGGCGGGGGGGGGGGGGTGGGAAGGGCTGTGAAGGGGAAACAAAGGAGGAGGCAACAATGCTTGTTAAGAAATGTACTCATTACCTTGCTCACATAATTGTAACCCCTCTGTACGGTATTTTCACAATAAAAAAAAAAAGAAGTGAAGGACCTTTAGGATGAAAACTTGAAAAATCTGAAAAAGGAAGTGAAAAAAACCTCCCATGTTCCTGGCTTGGGAGGATCAACAACGTGAAAATGGCAATACTGCCAAAAGCTATCTACGAATTCAGTGTGATACCTAGCCTTATCCCAACCTCATTCTTCAGTGAAATAGAAGAAGCAACCCAAAAGACCCCGAAAAGTAAAAACAATCTTTAGCAGAAAGAACAGTGCTAGAGGAATATCAATACCAAATTTCAAACTCGACTACAAAGCCAGAGTAATAAAAAAAAAAAAAAACAGCTTGGTACTGGCACAAGAACAGACTTGAGGACCAGTGGAATAGAACTGAAGACCCAGAAATGAACCCACAGACCTATAGCCATCTAATTTTCAATAAGGGAGCTAAAAAAATAGAATGGAAGAAAGACAGCCTCTTCAGTAAATGGTGCTGGCAAAATTGGTTAAACACCTGTAGTAAACTAAAGCTAGATCCTTATATATCACTCTGTACTAGAATCAACTCCAAATGGATCACAGACCTCAGAGTCAAAGCAGACATCCTGGAAACATTACAGGATGGAATAGGAGAAACGCTAGGGCTCCTTGGCACAGGCCAAGAAACACAAGTCAAAGAAAGGTTGGACAAATGGGATTGCATGAACTTGCAGAGCTTCTGCATAGCAAAGGACATAGGTAGCAAGATCAATAGAAAGCCCATAGGTTGGGAGAAGATCTTCACTAGCCATACAATGGTCAAGGGCCTCATATCTAAAAT